ACAAGCGTCAGCGCTGCGGTGCCAGTCGTAGCAGCCCTATGCCTCCCGCGCCCCATCCGCTCGTCGAGTTTCCGCCAGTCAGCGCTCCCAGAATTCCGCCACCGATCCCGCCGCCCTTTCCGCTTCCGCCCTTCCTGTTGTCTCTTCCGCCGCCGTTTCCCTTGCCGCCTTCCTTTCGGTTTCTGCCCTTCCCCTTGCCGTTACCAGGATACTCTCTGGTGCATATTAATTGTTTTGCGTTCGCTTTTTGTGTATGTTCAGCACTTGTGCGTCTTACTCAAATGCATTCACCACTAAAATGTTTCCCTTGTTGTCGCGCAGTTCTGCACGGTGTTATACTGATTTTCCAACCTACATAATGCGCCCGCGCGACGTAATGTTTTCTCGCTTTGCTTGTGTTCTGTCTCTCTTTACTGCGCAGGAATCGTATGACAAGAGTCTTCATAGGCTTCTCAACCCGTGGTGAGGCTGTTTTCTTCTAACTGTGTTCTTTTTGCAGGTTGCGGAATTCCCGGCGATCCGCACGGCAGGTGGTTGTCGCTCTGTGTGTTTGCTATTAGTGAGTTTTGACCGGAGTCTTGCTAATATGCATGATCGTGGACGTACCTGTTTTAGGTCGCAATAGTGATGTAATGCTGGTTTTCTGCTCGTTGAGTTGACGTCAATTATTTAAAATTTGGATTTATCGTGCCGTGTATGTCCAAATTGCTGTATTGGTCGTGGTGCAGGTTCTATTTAATGCTGCTGTTGCTAAATTCGTAATTGAAACTGGCCCAGTTTACGTCCCCAGGACAATTATTAGTTTGTACGGATTGCTGTAATGAAGAAATAAATAAATTGTTTGAACTCTTGGTAACCACGGTGACTAATGTTAATACGGTTACAAATGTAACATAATAAATGGAAAACCGTAACAACCATTCGGTAACCACAAAGCTACAGTACCGCCGCCTCGGCCGCGAAACGATCCGTTGTAAGCTAGCTTGAGTTTATGTACGAAAACAATGATTCACCATTTCAATTCTCAAACTGTTTCGTAGGCTTATATTAGAAAAATGTAGAGTCACTTGATTGCGAACAGTCCCGCTTCGATTTATTCACAAATGTTTTGCATCAACCCGAAACTCTTGACCCGGAAAAAAAGAGTACCGAACCCTTTTCCGCAATTGGCTTTGTACAGTACTTGCGCGCTTTGGGAAATGGCGAGTTCGATTGTGGAGCGAAACCTGGGGTTGGGAATGATGCCGCATGGGATGTTGAAATCAACCTGCAGGTGACACGCTGTAAGTGTGTATTGCAACACGCCAGTCCCAGGCATCGCGAAAACTTCCCCAGCGATGCCTATCAAACATCAAGCCACTGGATGGCATGCTGTTTGACACACAGGTATAGGTTCCGATGCATGCGACGGCGAGTGGATCGTCAGCATCACCGCCATGCGACGGCGACTGGATCGTCAGCATCAACGCCATGCGACGGCGACTGGATCGTCAGCATCAACGCCATGCGACGACGACTGGATCGTCAACATCAACGCCATGCGACGGCGACTGGATCGTCAGCATCAACGCCATGCGACGGCGACTGGATCGTCAGCATCAACGCCATGCAACGGCGACTGGATCGTCATCATTGACGAACACGTCGCACTCGTCAGCCTTCCACGATTCCGCCATGATCGTCGACGTAACTCCCCGCCTCAGTCGTAGTCTTGATTTTCGCCTCGTCACCGTCGAAAATCCCAGACTTAATCGTCACCGTCAGCACTTATCGCGATCTCAACATCAGAATCGCCGTCCGATCGTCCGATCCTCAAGACTCGCCGTCCCAGTCAGGAACGAGATTTTGCGTCTCTGGAGATCTCAGCATATCGTCGCCGTCAGAGCAGCTTCCACTCCGTCAAATATTACTTCGCCTTCGCCTCGACTTCGGTTTCGCCTTCGCCGTCAACGCAGCTTCCGTCGTCAACAAGGAACCTCCCCGTCACCGTTAGAAGATCGTCCGTCTCCATCCTCTGAACCTTATCAGACGACGCCAATCAGCCGTAAGAACTCCTCAACGGGATGAACGCCGCCAGAAACTCCGTCTTATTCTCGATCAGCGGCAAAAAAACTCGCCGTCTCGACCATCACTCCCAACAATTAGACGACACCGATCCTCTACGTCACCGTCAAATACAATCGACACCATCAGAAGACGTCAATCGCCACCGTTAGAGCTCCTCCTCGTAACGTCAGATATGTCTAGATTGTCGCCGTCACCATCGTCCGTCGGGAATTTATGTCTCCGTTTGAGGCGAACGTCACCGTCAGCACCTCTCATCTCTATCGTTGTCGTCAGAACTCGCCGTCTCCGTCGTCCCCGTCCAAAGACACCGTTTACGATTTCAAAATCCCTGCCTCCGTCTCGGTCTGTGCCTCGGTCAGTGACGTCGTGTTCGACTCGTGTTTCAGAAGTCGAATTTCAGAAATCGGATTTCAGAACGGCGTCATCGTTGCTGCGGCCTGAACCAGCTGTGGCTGTCGCCTAGTGATCCATGGCTCATGACGGGCTGAAGAAGAGCCGAGAGGCATCACTATGAGCCGAATCGACGTCACGAGACCGTATCTGACGGCCTTAAGCAGAGTTTTTTCAAAGTGCTAGACGATCATAATGGCGCTTCAGATAACGGCCTAATCATTCAGAATACGGTATTGAATAGGGAGATGCTACTTGATTTATAATCGAGCGAGCGACTCTAACCTAAAATAACGTAGTATCGCTTTATCATCTTCAGATACGACTAGGACTGTGCTGGAGAGGTATTTAACGGTCTTTAATCTATACGGCCGCCATAATGGATAGCTGACGAAACGAGTTGACCCTTGAGTATTCCTCAATCATGCTAGACCATAAAACTCGAACATAAGATCTACAAAAAAAAAGCTGCTACGAAGATTAAGATTTAGTCCTGGTTAACGGTTGGTGACAAAACTTCAGACGGCGGCCATGGATTCCAAGGAACCAAACAAGTCTATTCTCTAGGACTAGGAGTCTGAGCGAGGTGATCATGGGAATGGCGTTCAGGGACGCTTGATAATGAGATTCAGGGAGTGAAAAGAGTGGTTCAGTGGGGCATGTCTCGGAACTCAGAGAGATTCAGAGCGGTTTACAGGGATCCACTGAAACAAGAGAGAGAAGAGGAAGAAAGCAGCAAGGCATTTGCTTCCCTTCCCCAGCCCTGAGGGAGGCCGCCGCACTGTCGGCGGACAGGCTCACTTTCGTGAAACCGAAAAATTTGGCCCTTCGCTTGCGGGATGATTGACTTCCGAGAGTTTCGATAAGTTTCGTGAGAGAAGTTACAGCATCCACGAAGCGCGGGAGAATCATGGTTGCGGTTGTTTGCGCGGGAAACACCGCCACATGTCTGACAGAGCTCAGTTTCTTCATCATGCGGAGTTTCTTGAACCTGCACTGAATAATGTACACGTTTAGGCAGGCTCAACTTATGAAATGTATTTCAGGTGAAAGATAACTGAAGTTGTGTATCTAATTGCTAAGCCAGTGAATTATCAGTTTAAGACTGGATGTATATTAGTGTACAGAAGTAAACATGCAAAAACACCAACACATGCATTGATCATAAAGCCAACAACCAAGCAGGTCACTACATAAAAATTTCAGGAGACCCACAACTGGCATGCCACTAGCTGTTTCATCTCATCTCATGTGATAATACTACCGCCACGTGTGTGACGTGTCATCTTATCTCGAGTCAAAGCGTCAATCAACACTCAGCCCCATGCCAAAGCATGTTTGTTTTCGGCGCACGTTTGTATCTCATCTCATGTCAAAGCATCACCCTGCACTTGGCACATCCACCACCACCTCTTCACCACCACCCACTTCATCTCTCCGTTCCTTCCCTTCACTTCCTTCCAGCACCACAATCTCCTCACCTCTCCGCCTCCCACTCCCACTCCTCCTCCCACTCACACTCCTCGGCACACCACTGCTATCCACACTCTCCTCCCCGGCTCCACCTGCCATATAATCATCCGGCATTCTCCCAAGCTCCACTATCCGATCTGCAATCCTGCCTCCTTCGTCGTCCGTCAGTCGGGTTGCTTCTACTAAGTCGTATTCTGATTGCCTCTTATTGACTGGAGATCTGCCAGATAGACCTGGGGAACTGAGACGAGACGACCCGTGGTGGTGGGGAGAATTCCGCTTTGAACCGTGTCCTGGGGAGCCTTTCCACGAGCCTACCGGGGAGGCTCGGCGAGACCCAGGTATGGAGGCTGGGGAGGTTCGGCGGGAGTTGGGTCGGGAGTTGCGGTTACGCATGGCGGGAAGAATGGGGGCTTCTGATTCGTCGGCTGCTGCTGCTGGGTCTATCACGCTCGTTCCCCCAGCCTCCAGTCCCCCTACTCCCCCTCCTCCTAGCCCTCCCGCTCTTCCTGATCCTACTCGTGGCACTGATACTGCATTGACTGCTACTCCTGCCACACCTGCTGCCGCTGCCACCGCTGCTGCTGTTCCTGCCGGCACTGCAGCAGCAGCAGCAGCAGGGTCTGAAGGCGTGGTGTTGTACTGAGCATAAGGGGCATATGGGACCAGACCATTCATATACGGCACCCCATTTCTGTTCCTCTGCGCGTCGTCATGCATGTGCCCGTTGGTATTTGCCGTTGGTATCAGAGCATGGTTGGAAGAGGAGGTAGGGTCGGTAACGGGAGGTACGGTGGGGGGAGGTTCGGGGGCGTCGGCTCGGAAGTTGTGGCGGGAGGGGGGGATGGGAGAGCAGAGCACGGAGCGCCAGTTGTGCAGACACCCGAGGTTGTATGGGTTGGCTTTCTTCTCGTAGCGCGCTCGAAAGTTCTCGTACGTGGTCTGATGAAGCAAGGGCGGGAGGAGAGGAGCAAGGGAAGAAAAGGGTGGAGACGGATGGAGATTGTAGGGTCCTTTGGGGTATGGGTCGGCCTTCTTCTCGTAGAGCGCTCTAAGTTTCTCGTAGCCCGTTAACCCTCCAACGAACGAACCACACCATGATGAACGTGTATACCATCAGCACCGCTGCCAGGTACCCCTTCCCCAGCACGGCCAGCAGGGAGGCACGAGCAGGTGCTGAAGAGAGCTAGTAAACTCCAGTGCACCCTGTACCCACCTGGTTGCGCGAGATGAGGAAGGAGTGGAAGCCAGTCAACCCTCCCACGAACCACACCATGATGAACGTGTATACCATCAGCACCGCTGCCATGTACCCCTTCCCCAGCAGTTAACCCCTTAGGGGGGGGGAGAGCAACCCACTCTTGCCACACACACACCTGGTTGCGCGAGATGAGGAAGGAGTGAAAGCCGGTGAGTCCTCCAACGAACCACACCATGATGAACGTGTATACCATCAGCACCGCTGCCAGGTACCCCTTCCCCAGCTGTTAACCCCTTAGGGGGGGGAGAGCAACCCACTCTTGCCACACACACACCTGGTTGCGCGAGGTGAGAAAGGAGTGAAAGCCGGTGAGTCCTCCAATGAACCACACCATGATGAACGTGTATACCATCAGCACCGCTGCCAGGTACCCCTTCCCCAGCTGTTAACCCCTTAGGGGGGGGGGAGAGCAACCCACTCTTGCCACACACACACCTGGTTGCGCGAGATGAGAAAGGAGTGAAAGCCGGTGAGTCCTCCAACGAACCACACCATGATGAACGTGTATACCATCAGCACCGCTGCCAGGTACCCCTTCCCCAGCTGTTAACCCCTTAGGGGGGGGAGAGCAACCCACTCTTGCCACACACACACCTGGTTGCGCGAGGTGAGAAAGGAGTGAAAGCCGGTGAGTCCTCCAATGAACCACACCATGATGAACGTGTATACCATCAGCACCGCTGCCAGGTACTCCTTCCCCAGCTGTTAACCCCTTAGGGGGGGGAGAGCAACCCACTCTTGCCACACACACACCTGGTTGCGCGAGATGAGAAAGGAGTGAAAGCCGGTGAGTCCTCCAACGAACCACACCATGATGAACGTGTATACCATCAGCACCGCTGCCAGGTACCCCTTCCCCAGCTGTTAACCCCTTAGGGGGGGGAGAGCAACCCACTCTTGCCACACACACACCTGGTTGCGCGAGATGAGGAAGGAGTGAAAGCCGGTGAGTCCTCCCACGAACCACACCATGATGAACGTGTAGACCATCAGCACCGCCGCCATGTACCCCTTCCCCAGCGCCTCTAGCAGCGAGATGCTCTGCCCGCTGGCGCCCGGGTAGGAGTTGTCCACGAGGAGCTTGATGTAGAAGGCTGAGAGGGTGAAGACGAAGATGCAGAGGAGGGTTGTGGTGGTGACAAAGAGAAAGAAGAAGGGGTAGTTGCGCTGCGGAGGGAGGGAGGGTAGAGGATGGGGGGAGAGGGGGACAAGGGGGAGCAGAAGAATGAGGTGAAGGGTTATGAACGGGGAGGCCGAGGGCCATGTTCTCCTTTTCCAACGTTGGCGCCCGGGTAGGATTTGTCTACGAGGAGCTTGATGTAGAAAGCTGAGAGGGTGAAGATTGAAGATGCAGAGGAGAGTTGTGGTGGTGACGAAGAGAAAGAAGAAGGGGTAGTTGCGCTGCAAGGAGGGGAGGGGAGAGTGCGGGAGAAGGGGGAGGGGAGGGAGGGGGATGAGGAGCAGCGGAGAGAGGGGGGAAAGAATAATTGGAAGGACGGAGAGGGAGAAGACGAAGATGCAGAGCATCGTGGTGGTGGTGACGAATAGGAAGAAGAAGGGGTAGTTGCGCTGCAGAGGGGGCGGGCGGGGATGAGGGGGCAAAGGGGGGCAGAAGAATGAAGAAAAGGTTCAAGGGTTAAAGGGGAGGGGGAGGGGAGGGCACCAGTGGGGTTCCAAACACCCTCCCGGCTTGGGGCAGAGAGGGTTAGGCAGTGGTTTGGGTAAATTGAAGCATGAACTGAGCATTGAAGGAGGGATGATGCGGATGCAACATGGAAGGAGGGATGCACGCAGGAAGATGATAGGACGATGGAGAGCGGTAGGGTACATTGCACGAAGCCAGACCCATACTCTCCCACTCCTAATGCACTGCCCCACTCAAGGCTCATCCCACCCCACCCTGAATCCCACTGTGATGGGACGAGTTTTGAGTGGCATTCAGGGATTGAATGAGGAGACGACAAAAAAATTAGCCCCCTCAAGGCTCCTCCTGCCCCACCGTAAATCCAAATCCGAACTCCTGAACCCCCAACAACACCCTCGGCTCACCCTGCCTATGCACTGTCCCACCCACAACACACCCTGCATTACTAAGGCTTACCCTGCCCCACCTTGAAGCCCAAACCCGAAACACCCGCAGCTCACCCGTCCAATACACTGCCCCACCAAAGGGCAGTGGTGGTCAAATGCTCAACCCGCCCTATGCTTGAAATCCCGAACCCCAAATTCTAAACCTCGGCTCACCCGTCCAATGCATTGCCCCACCCACGGGCAGTGGTGGTCGAATTTCTCGATGCAGTTGTCGCATATGCTGCAGTGCGAGCATCTGGGCGGCCTGGTTTGTCACCATTCAGGAACGGGAGAGGGGGTTGAAGGAAAAGAAACGGGACAATAGGATTTAGGGCAGTTAGAAGGGGGTACTCAGCTCATATGAAGCAACTGAAACATTAATAAAAGAAAATGGAGGCGTCAAATGCACACGAGTGCAAGACCTTCGTGCTTTCATTCGAGGCGCCTCAAGGGAGGGAAGTGCACACAAGGGCACAGAGCACACAGCAGACTGCTCATTGCACCGATTCACCAAAACACAACACGCCCAACACACCCACCGGTACAGCAGGCATGTGTCGCAGTACGTGACTTTGACTATATGCTCGTTCACCACCACCTCCTTGGCTCTTGCTTCCAGGCAGTTCAAGCGCAAGACATGCACCCATAAGAATAGAGCAATCGCTCCAAGTCGCCCAATTTTAAGAGGTCTAGCGACTCAAATAACCCACCGGTACAGCAGGCAGGTGTCGCAGTATTTCACTTTGACCGTGTGCCCGTTCACCACCACCTCCTTGGCTCGTGGCAGCTTCTTCGGCGCCCCTCCCGCTGCCTGCTCCCCTGCCTCCTCATCTGGCTGTGGTGGCACGAGATTGCGAGGCACGATGCCAGGGTCCCTGCTCGCTGTGACGAGCAGAATGAAGAGATTCTGAGGGAGAGAGAGTAGGGGGGGGAATAGGAGGAGGGGGGAATGGGAAGGGGGAAGGAAGGAGGAGGGGGCGGTGGTACGATGCCCGGGTCCCTGCTCGCTGTGACGAGCAGAATGAAGAGATTCTGGTGAAGGGGAGTAAGGCGGGGGCGGGCAAGTGATGTTTTAAGTCAGACTCCCTGCCTCCTCATCTGGCTGCGGTGGCACGAGGTTGCGAGGTACGATGCCCGGGTCCCTGCTCGCTGTCACGAGTAGAATGAAGAGATTCTGAGAGAGGAGGGACGGTGGTGGGGAGGGAGGGAGGGGAGGAAGGGGAGGGAGGGAAGGGAGGGATGGGAAATCAGGGAGAGGGAGAGCAAGAGGAGGGTAAGGGGGTAGAAGCTTGGGTTGTATTGGGAGAAACTTTTAAGGGAAAGGAGGTCAGAAGGTCCTTCACAGGTCGTTCAACATAACAAGGGACCTATGAGCCTAAAACGCGTACTCAGATGACAAAGCAGATGGGCTGACTTTGAGTCAACTCAAAAGTCAGTTCATAGGTCGTTCATTGTTACCTATGAGCCTAAAACGCGTACCCACTTTTGAGGCGCCTCAAAAGTCGTCTCCTATGAGCCTAAAACGCGTACCCACTTTTGAGGCGCCTCAAAAGTCGTCTCCTATGAGCCTAAAACGCGTACCCAGATGACAAAGCAGATGGAGACGGGGAGCACGGCGATGCCTCCGGGAAGCTTCCCCGCGTAGGGCGCGGCAACGAAGATGCAGAAGAGAGTGCCGGGCACGAGGATGAGGACGACCGAGATGACCAGCGACCGTACGTCCGGGCCGAAGATGAAACGCCCCCAGCACAAGAAACGCTGGGGAGGGTGGAGAAGGCGAGGGGTGGGGAATGAATGGTGTGGGGGCGATAGAAAGACGGGGGAGGGGGGCGTAAGGGAGTAGGCCCGAGGGGGGAGAGGGATGGGAGAGGGGAGGAGAATGGCAGGGGCGAAGAGGAGTGGGAGTGAGGACGAAGGAGATGACCGGCGACCGTACGTCCGGGCCGAAGATGAAACGCCCCCAGCACAAGAAACGATGGGAGAGGGAGGGAGAGGGGGAGAATGGGAGAGGGGAGGGGAATGGTAGGGGCAAGGGGGAGTGGGAGGAGGTTTGGGTATCGGAAAAGGGTGAGGAGAGCGAGGGACATGCGAAGGGAAGGGATGCGCGAGGGGAGGGGGATGGGGGCGGATGGGGAGGAGGGTGGGGTGGGGTGGAGGTCATGAGATGGTGGGAGGTGAGTCTGAGAGGGAGCGAGCTGGTCTACAATCAGCACGCGTGCATGGGTGCATGGGTGCATGGGTGCATGAATGTATGGGTGCATGGGTGCATGGGTGCATGGGTGCATGGGTGCATGGGTGCATGGGTGCATGGGTGCATGGGTGCATGGGTGCATGAATGCATGGGTGCATGGGTGCATGGGTGCACGGGTGCATGGGTTCATGGGTGCATGGGTGCATGGGTGCATGGGTGCATGGGTGCATGGGTGCATGGGTGCATGGGTGCATGGGTGCATGGGTGCATGGGTGCATGGGTGCATGGGTGCATGGGTGCATGGGTGCATGGGTGCATGGGTGCATGAATGCATGGGTGCATGGGTGCATGAATGTATGGGTGCATGGGTGCATGAGTGCATGGGTGCATGGCTGCATGAATGCATGGGTGCATGGGTGCATGGGTGCATGAATGCATGGGTGCATGAATGCATGGGTGCATGGGTGCATGGCTGCATGAATGCATGGGTGCATGGGTGCATGGGTGCATGAATGCATGGGTGCATGAATGCATGGGTGCATGGGTGCATGAATGCATGGGTGCATGAATGCATGGGTGCATGGGTGCATGAATGTATGGGTGCATGGGTGCATGGGTGCATGGGTGCATGGGTGCATGGGTGCATGGGTGCATGAATGCATGGGTGCATGGGTGCATGGGTGCATGGGTGCATGGGTGCATGGGTGCATGGGTGCATGGGTGCATGGGTGCATGGGTGCATGGGTGCATGGGTGCATGGGTGCATGAATGCATGGGTGCATGGGTGCATGAATGTATGGGTGCATGGGTGCATGAGTGCATGGGTGCATGGCTGCATGAATGCATGGGTGCATGGGTGCATGGGTGCATGAATGCATGGGTGCATGAATGCATGGGTGCATGGGTGCATGAATGTATGGGTGCATGGGTGCATGAGTGCATGGCTGCATGGCTGCATGAATGCATGGGTGCATGGGTGCATGGGTGCATGAATGCATGGGTGCATGAATGCATGGGTGCATGGGTGCATGAATGTATGGGTGCATGGGTGCATGAGTGCATGGGTGCATGGCTGCATGAATGCATGGGTGCATGGGTGCATGGGTGCATGAATGCATGGGTGCATGAATGCATGGGTGCATGGGTGCATGAATGTATGGGTGCATGGGTGCATGGGTGCATGGGTGCATGGGTGCATGGGTGCATGGGTGCATGGGTGCATGAATGCATGGGTGCATGGGTGCATGAATGTATGGGTGCATGGGTGCATGAGTGCATGGGTGCATGGCTGCATGAATGCATGGGTGCATGGGTGCATGGGTGCATGAGTGCATGGGTGCATGAATGTATGGGTGCATGGGTGCATGAGTGCATGGGTGCATGGCTGCATGAATGCATGGGTGCATGGGTGCATGGGTGCACGGGTGCATGAACGCATGAATGCATTGGTGCAAGGCTAAACCGGTGGATGAATGCACGGTTGGATGGGAACATTGCTGCATGGGTGCATGGGTGCATGGATGCATGGCTGAAAGGGTGCATGTGTGAAAGGGTGAACATGGGTACAATGGACGCATGGGTGCATGGACGCATGGGTGCATGGACGCATGGGTGCATGGACGCATGGGTGCATGGCTACACGGCTACACGGCTGCATGACTGCATGGCTACATGGTTGTATGTGCGCATCGCTGCATGGCTGCAGGGTGCATGGCTGCATGGTGCATGGTACATGGCTGCATGGTGCATGGGGGCATGGCTGGAAGGGCGACGCATGCTTACATTGCTGCCTTTCCACGCCTGGTAAACCTTCGTCATGCTGACGTCCGACAGAGCCGTTGCTGACGCAGGCCTGACGTCATTCTACCCCGTTCCCTCGGCCTCCAATTGTATCACGCCACGTAGTCCCACAACCAACTTCTTAAGCTTCAAACCCTAACTCAGGCTTGCAGCAGATCTCGCCTCGACTTCACTTCAACGAATAGGCAGAAATACGAGAGTCGTTGTCGATGGTATTCCTCAATATTACTATAAGGTCCCGTGCGACGAGGTTGAACAAGATCTGCTTATTACTCTCTGGTCTAGCGATGAATTCGTGAATATTAACTTGATTTACTAGAACGCGACTTCTACTTTATACAATGATACTGAGGAACACTGATTTGCACGGCACTGCTCTCGAGAAGCCTGAACGGTTAGCGGCGTTTGCGGAACGAGTCGTCGACAAACGCGTACGGAATGTTGCGAGAAGGTTGAAACGTATCCGGAACTAAAACAGTCAGGTTATAGAGACGGAAAAGAGCTCGAGCTAATATTAGGGCATGATAAACAGGGTAGTCAAAGCCGAGCCGTGAAAGTGCAGTAGGCATCTACACTCAAGTCGCTACTACGAGCAAAATGTCACGACTCGTGCTAAAGCTGGGCGTAGAGAGTTAGATTATGACTTATAACTACCCGGCAATGCAACGGCTCCCTAGAGTTCTATGGAATGACAGTTGAGTCGAGGATACTATTTAGCTGGTGTTGCCACTGGTTGGGGACTGGGCAGCTTGTGTGGTGTAGAACCACTGGTGGTCAGATGTGTACGCGTTTTTGCGCAGAAGCTGTTTCGTTTGAAGCCCTTGTGGCTTGTGGCCAGCCGAACCAAGATACCTGGAGGACAGGGGGGTACCAAGCGGGGAGTTCACACAGCACGTCGCATACTCGCAGGTCGTACGGATGAGAATGCGGAGGTTCAAAAAATAGAGGCTGTAAGTTCGCTCGAAATCGGACTTAGTACACGCTATAACTTTCTAGAACCTACAGAACCGCCTGAAACCAACTCTTGACAAGCGGATGGAGTAATTGGGATCTTGCGTGATTGGACTGCGTCGTCGAGGGCGTTCGCACACTTCGTGTGAACAAATCCTTCAACGACATCGACATTTCTAATGATGTAGTGATTTTATTAACGGGTATTGTACAGTAAGGGTGCCTTGCCTTATCGAAGACAAATTCCTGGGTCGCTGACACAATTCGAAGCGCCTTTCACCAAAGCTGAAACGGTCATGCGAACAGTGCGACACGCATTCCCCCACCTGAATGCTGGTTACAGAAGCTGCAGATTTCGCTCTGAGCGTCAGCGCGTTTCGCTTCTTCACGGAACTCCGCTGTGTCCGCGATATTCCCGAACCCCCTGGCCTTTCCCCCACACTCAAGTCCGCCCCCAGCTCCCCCATCTGCGGACATGTTTTCCAGCCCCGCGGATTGATTGGCGAAAGCATCAAGGTGAATGACGGATGGGCGATGCCTGAAATGGTTCGCCGGGTCGCACAGATGACAGACAGTCCCGCGCAGCCGCACCTCCTGACCGCGACTTTCGGTTTGGTTTCCAGCGTCCAAGGTCGACCCACCGCTATGAACCACGATCAAACGTTTTTGAACCTAAAAAACCGTCTCTCACGCCTCGCGTTTGACCTTTCAAGTCGAGGTTCCCTGTGAACATGCATGGTTGGCTGACTAGCTGGAGCAGCAGGAAGCGCAGTCAGTCAGACTTTCGTACTGTGGAGCCCAGCTTATGCACTGAAACGCAGGGAGTGCCAACGCACAACAACACAGAGGAGTGCCATTTGTGATTTGCTTCGCTCTGCCTCGACTAGTTCCCAACCGTCTTCACTCAGCCGCTGCTTCGATCTCGCGTGACTAGTATGCGTGACTCCTAGTCCGGTTGCTATTCCTCCGAGCATTCCCACGGCTTTCCAAGATTGATACCCCGCAAAATTGGCTGCTGACTGCTCGCGTCTGGAGGCCTGCTCCTGTTTCCTGGAAAGCATTCGCTCATTGCTCCGGCACGAACATTGCTTGATCCGTCCAGCTCAGGGAAACACCAGCTGAAACATAATTCGGGCTCGCAGCAGCAGTAGGCGGTTCCCCGAGCTTACTATTAGGACCTAAAACAGGGGTCTAATCATTCCGCGTAATTAAGCACCGCGTTTTCCCGAAATCATTTATCTCGTGACCCCGCAGCAGCTCCGTAGCTCCCTTGCAGCACAGCGCGCAGCAACTCTAGCTGCCTCGCAGACCTCGCATCGCAACCCTCGCACCCGCCGTCGCACCCGTCGCAGCCGTCGCAGGAGGTCGCCATGGCGAAGCCGCAGAAGTCGCTCAATGGCAACATCTCGGAGATGTCGAAGAGCTTCCTGCGATTCGTCAACATCGTTATCGTCCTCGGCGCAATCTCCACCATCGCCCTCCAATTCGTGATTAGTCGTCGCCTACACTCACAGGTTGGGCCTTCATCCTCCTCGGCGTCCTCGTTGTAATCTCGGGGCTCTTCGGAACGATCTCCTCCGGCCAAGCGGGCTGCTTCAACTGCCACATGTTCTGCCTCGCCGTGAGCTCCGCCGGGTTATGCGCGTCGTTCTCTGCACCTTCCTGCTTTTCAACAACACCGTCGATGCCGTCGATCCGACGATGTCGACGGAGGCTGTCGGGGAGCAGTACGTGCGAATCGTCGGCGCGCTTTACTTCGTTTCTCTTCGCGGCGCAGATGGTCGTTCTGCTGCTCGCGACGATGATCCACGTGTGC